TAAGTTTCACCATGTTTAAGATTTAGAAGATGGTCATTTGAAGAGCAAGAAAATTTTGATTCATCAACTTTAAGATTCATGTCTTTAGGCACTAAATCCTTCTCAAGGAAGAAATGAAATGACGCAAAATCTCTCACAAGATCTCGTTGATCATGACAATTCCTAAAATATAAAATTGCATCTAATGTCACATTGAAATCAGATCCGGGAGTATATAAAGCTATGCTTATTGGAGCCTGCCATCTGTGAAAAATTTAAAGCATTTTGAGCTTAACTTTATTAAGTTAAATATGATAAAACTTCGAACCTTTCTAGCAATGGAATAATATTTTCAATGAGAAAAACGACATCACCATGCGTTGTATAAGTTATCGTCGTTTGATAATCAGGTGTTTTCTCAGCTGTTATGATATTCTTAATGAATAGATATTTTTCATGAATAGTTTTAATTCGTTTCATAGCTTTATCTAGAGTGTTGTTGTAACGTTCGCATGGACAATCGCTAAAATTAGTAACTTTTTTCATTGTGACATTTTAATCAATCAAATATTTTATATTTTTACCTGAATCTGTTGAGTGAAGTTATTTTTTGGCGAATATTTGAAAACGAGTTTAAACTATCTTTCAAACCATTGTTAGTTTTGTGAAATAATATAAATACTATAAAAATAATCCAACATAGAAACACCATTTTAATACCGATTTTTCTAACAAGCATTTCGACTGATTTGTTTCAATAATATGAGACTTAAAACCAAAACGTTTGCTGATGAGCACTTTTCACACGTTATTGAAATAAGTTTAGATAAAGAAAACTTAATACTGTATTCATCAAAGTCTCAAAGTTTGAATAGCTCACATAGAATTCCAAAAACCAGGGCTTCCGTCCGCACCTTTTTCCTGTTCCAAACCTTATTAGCGGTCCGCAAACCTGGTCTGAATCATGTAAATGGACCGCTTCAGTTCGTTTTAAGCGGCCCAGAAACGGATCCCAGACCACAGGCTGAAGCCCTGTCAATAAAACAATATTGTTTTTTGCACAAGTATTGATATTTTAATTGTACAATTGGTTTTTATTATATCAACTTCATGTTTTTTTAATTCCTTCAATGAAGAGACAGCAGGAAAAATTTGTGTCAATAATATTTTAACTTACAGAATTTTAATATTCAAACTAAATGTGCGGCCAATTGAGATCATATGAAGACAACAGTCAAACACGATCGTTAGATATTAATTACAAGAAAAGTTAAAAAAAAATAAAAAGTCGGCGCAATTCACGATTTTTTTTTTCAGTTCATTAATTGTTCAGGGATCGTCAGTAGATTAAAAATTTGATAATAATTAATATTAATAAAATTTCATAAGATCACCAATTTATACTTCATATATCACTCTCTATAAGTACAATTCCAGTTCCTGTATAAAGTAAAATATTTTATGCCTTCCAAAATCTTGTCAAGACTTTAAAAAGGNAATTAAAAGCAAAAAACTTTTTCTTCCTGATTGTTTACTTGGTCAAATGCATTCTTTTAAAGATGAAAATATGACCAAGCTTAACGTATTTAATTGCTGTATAATTGCGACAAACAGTTGTTTAATGCAGAAAAAGGAAATCCAAAATCCCTCGAGCCGTTTTGAATCTCGTGAATGTAATGTGATTAAAAAATTCATAAACATTATCTTACGAGTCTTTAGTGGTTTGTGGGTATTTAACAGAGGTGATAATTTTATAATTCTCTCTGTGAAAAAATCATTAAAAGTTTTTTAATGGCCTCCATGAATATTTGATAACTTAAGATTGTGACTCTTGAAGATGATCTTCATCCATGCACTTGCAAATAAAAGAAATTAACAAATTCAATGTTTATGTGCTGATCGTAAATATTTCGATCAAAATGTGATTAAACGAACAAAGTTCTCGAATAATTCAAACAACATATTGTTGTCTTTTAATTATTCAAATGGCAATAGAAACTGCAAAGAGCGAAGAAAAACACTTCACGGAAAATTATTTTAATTAGGTAATTTATTGCCGTCTTTGGAGAATAATAGAAGGAGAATTATTGCAGTAATGGTCTTGTGACTTTTCATGGTAATAATTTGTCCAATGCGAGTCAGGAAGTGCAGCAATGTCGTAAATATTTGGTTTAAAACCGATTGCGATTCTCGCTGCTATTGCAGCACTTCTTTAGCTATCTCTTGCCGCTTTCTCAGAAGAAATGAAGAAAAAACTAATGAAAATGGTTTGATAACAAATGGCGCATTAGCTTAATGGAACAAAATTGCAGGCACAAGAAACGATGCAGCGGTGATAATAAATGCTAATTTGTGCTATATTATACTTAAGCCATGGATAAGCAAAAGCAAATGCGGAAATAAGAGAAAAAATGTTTAATCGCAAATTGGGAAATTTCGTTGTTATGCAATGAAGAACGGAAAACAAAACAAAATAAACAAATTTTCATAATTTTCTCCTTTTTTCTTCTCAGCTCCACCACGATTTACAAATATCTGAAGAAATTGTCAGTCGAAAGAAGGGAAGAAGAAAACTTAAATTTACTTCAATGGAACAGAAAATGTCCTTACATTGCAACATCATTCCGTTTCCGTTGCTGGCATCCCCAGATTATTAAGTATATGGAAAGGAAAAGTTTTTCTTAATAACTTAAATAATTCGGTGGAAGTGCACGGCTACTGAAACGGTGCTGCTTATTGCTTACGAGAATGAATGAAAAAAGTTGAATTTTAATAAACATTTTCCATTCTTTATGCTCATCTGAATATTTATGTTTGTGTATTAAAAGCGAGTTTATCTCAAAGAAAAATTATCCAACGGATGAAAAAGTAGTGAAGTTGCTTTCAAATAGATTCTTCTTAAGACTTCCCATCATTTATTTTCATTTCTTCATGACACATTAAATGAATTGAAGTTGAAATTATGAGACTTTGAAATTATTTTCTCTTCTTGGTCAGCTTGCATATTGCAATATTTCTTATTTATCACAATTTTTATTTCACTTTTGAGGATCAAGGAAATTGGAAGTTCAATTTGAATTCTTCCCACCTAGTGCTACAAGACGTCAAATGAATCACAAAAGTTCCAGTAAATCGCATTTGGTAACAAAACTAATTACATTTTCAACTAAACAAAACTACATCGAAAACGACCATAAATTTTCCAAACTTATTATTTTGTCCCATGAAAATTTAAAGCTGCATACGATTATCGTTTAGATTATCGTGAGTCGCATAATGAGTAGAAAAGACAAATTTTTCGCAATTCTAATTAAAATGAAATTCGTTTTTGGCTCCTGAGTTAATTTTATGAGATTGCATGGAAAGTATCTTGGAGGAAATCGCTAAGAGACAAAAATCATTTATTATTTTTACATTCAAAGCTTTCTAATGTGAAACTTTAATTTGCTTGCATTTCACCTTGAATTGAATTAAATTTATTTGCACTCAAGAAATCAGAATGAAAGTTTTCTGTCTCGATTTATTTATTTTGTTTTATGGAAATTAAATTTTGTAGGCAGTTTGAAATATTGAAGAATTGCGACTTTGAAAACTAAATTCACATAAATATTATTTATTTAATTATGACGCAATTTCACAGCTGGGTGGTAATTTGAAGCTAGTGTTACATGAAATATTACGCATTACTTACCTGGGAATTGATTGGTGAATATTCAAGACTTCATTACGATCAAAATTAAACCAACTGTTTAAACACCAAACAGATAAAACGTGTTTAAAAAAACGTTAACTTAAATTTACTTTGACATTGTCTCGAATTTATTCGTAATTTGTTCCTCAAAGCATCATGAATCGATCAGTTTTAATATTTTTCGCGTTACTTTTTTCTATTCAAGTAATTTTAAAAATTTCTTTTTCTTCAAAATTTATAATTAGAAACAAAGTTTAATTTTATTCAATGCCTTGTCATTAGCGGGAGATCCAAGGGCATTCTGAAGAAATTATTTCTACCAGATCTCCTGATTTCGTTGTCAGTGGTGAGATTGTCGATTATTCAGTGGCAATTTCAAGATCTGCTGAAGTGACTGTGAGCAGAACACCTCCAACTATCAGTGAAACATCAGTGACAGTAAAGTTTAAAATTTACAATAAATTGAATTATGTTTTAAGAGTGTTTAATTCCAATTATCTAAGGTTATTCAATCTCACGATTCTGAAGTAGTGCAAGTTGTGACTCATGTCCAAAGCAGTTACCAAAGTTCAATAGAATTCACTTCAACGAGACAATCAAGTTTCAATTTTGACTCGTCATCAGCAACTTCAATTATCGGGAATAATGTCTTGTTTTCAAACGAAAATGGCATAGAAAGAGTCATTTATGGTCTCTTTGCCATTTTGTCGATCGTTTCGGGAGAAGTTCAGCAATATCCGCCGCCATTCTACGTATCCTACTTCGACGATGCATATCCATCTCCACCAGATTGTTTAACCTCATCAAACAATATTGGTTGTCAAGCTAAAGTTGTAATCGCAATTATCGCATCATTAACGAACGATATTGAAAATGTCCTCAGCGACTTTGAAGATTACGAAACCGACACGTCGGCAGATATCGATGTTTCATGTCAGAACTTGGCAACAAGTGAAGCTGTTACTTCACAATTATCATCAATCAGAAATGCAATCCAATCTTATGTTGATAACAATTCCGAAGGAGTTCTTATTGAGATAATTGCGTCAAACTTAGCACAGGAATTTGATTCAGCAGTTGCGTCATTGCAGACATTAATCGACAACATGATGACTTGCTCAGACACTTTAACAGGAAGTTTGAGTTCGAATCATGTGAAAATCTTCTCCGGTTGTGACGAAGACTCGACGTACCCTGAACTTTGTGACGTTGGCGGAACTAAATACACAGAACGGTTGAACAGAAACGTCATACGTTACACAAATTTCATCAGAAGACGTGCAGTGCAAGTACGTGAAACAAGACTTACGCGATTTGAAGAGAATGCAGCAACAGCAGTGGAACTTTTCTCGTCAATCTTTTCATTTATTCGCACGAGTTTCAACAGGGTCCGAGGCATTTTCAGCTTTGGAATAAAAATCAATGCTCTCAACTTACAATCCAAACTCGTTAAATTGCTTGACACTTATTCGTCAGTAATATCCAACACAATCCCGAGCATAACTTCAATTTTAGAAGAAACTGAACAGGAAGTTGAAAATATCCAAAAAAGTACTTCATTCGATTTCTACAAGAGAACCAATAATTTCATTGAAGAGATTATTACGAACTCAAATGACTATCCATGCTGTAATGAGTACGCTCAAAGCACTGTTGAACTTCAAGCTAAATTTGCCAGCGAATTTTCTGATTGTATTAAGGAATCGTACAATGTTTGGAATGAATTAGCATACAACGTTACTTTGCAGCTAGCAAGATCTGGAGAAAGATTTAATGAGATCGACGTAGCACTCGACAAATGTATTCGATTAAGATGTGACAAAGTACAATGTCTTAACCAATACATTGCAAGAAGGGACAGCACAAAAATTATAAATTGCATTTACGGTGTTGTTAAAAGCACTTATGGCGTTCAAGACATGATGTATTTGGAAGGTAACTTCACAATTGATGGTCTGAGAGCCAACAGTTCGATCGCAATTTCTGAAGCACAAGAATGTAGCAACGCAGCAGTTGAAGCTGCTGATACTGAATTGGAGGAAATCAAAGCTGCTTATGAAGATTGCAAGGTGAATCGATGGTGCGATGCTATGGCAACTACAAGTAAGTTTTTCTATTAATATATGATTGGATTAATAATTTAAACTTCTTTCAGCAACAACACCAGCACCACGAGGTTAGTTAAAATTTAAAATGATTCATTTGATATTAATTTTATTAACTTTTCTTTTTCTGTGACGAATTTCGCAGCTCCATGTGAGTTTTTAAACTTTACAAATCAATCAAATTTTACTTTAATATTCATTAAATCATTTAGTTGTGATGATGCACGGAGGTTGCCCTAATTGCTGGAAGAATGGACAACTCATAATTGCTGCTGGTTATGTTGCGTCTACAATTTGTTTCTGGTGCCCAAGAAGTGGGACATGCCCTGCTGACTACGAAATGAAGCAATACTGGACCCCCCTTGGGCAGCGTTGTTGCTGTTATTAAACTTTTGGGGAATCTTTATGATTTGCTCAACTCAGGAACGCATTCATTATTCTTAACATAAATCGATTTAAATCGTTAATTTTCGGTTTCATTAATGAAAAGTATTAAAAATGTCGGCTTAAGAAATTTCTGACAATTTTAATAATTTCAAAATTTTGAAGATTAAAATTAACAATTTCAATCAATTAACAGTTCGAGGATGAGTTCTGTAAAAATTAATTCATCAATAAAATGAAGCAAACAGAGAAATATTTTTAAATTCTTCATTCATTCCACCCACACTCAACTCTTTCCACACACTTCTAAGCTTCAATTACTTCAAGAACATAAATACAATTCGGATTCGATCGAACGATTGCTTCTATCATACATGATATTCATTTTCCATGATATGCGAGATAAAAGTAACTCAATGCATTAAAATCACTTCCATTAAGAGTCTTTCCATTCAGTTGCGAAACCTTTTCAGATAGTTTATGTGGCTGAGAATGAATGTTCAATACTTTTTTGTCATCATCATAAAGTTTGATAAGAAAAGTCATCCCAACCCTTGCAAAGGCACAAAGGGGAGAAGGAGAGAGATTTGTATGTATCGGACAGTCGAGGTATTATCATAATTTCTGTTCTGTAATTCACGTAATATTTCTTCGTAGGATAAATTTTTAGATTTTCTTCTTCTTCATCGTTTCTTTTCCTTTCGGTTCTTGTAGTGAATTCTCGTGTCCAATATCAATAAAATTTCATTTCATTTTCCTTTCTTTCGAGCTCGATGGCTATCGAAAACGAGAAAGCTTTGTGATGCTACATGATTCTAATATTGTTCATGACTCGAACCTGAACGAGACTCGAAAGAAGAAATCACATTCATAAATTTATATTTTGTGCGACCATTGATTGGAGACAAGAGTCATCAATGCTTTGCTTCGAGATAGAATTGTGTTTTGGAAGTGATTTCAATTGAAGATGACCGAAAGAAATTTTCTAATTGCATGCAGTTTGTATTGAAAATTTCTTTTAATCTCACATAATTCATTTGCAATCAGTTGATTCACCTTCAAGAGATTCTCATCGTGACACTGAAGAAAATTGGAAAAGTCGACGTAAGTAGATAATTGAATACGAAACGAAATAAATTGTTCAACTTTTGTTGACTTCCGTTTGATATTTTTTCATATTTTGCTCTTGGTCATTTAAAGACTCGTTTGATTTATCATATCTCTCGTGGCTAAGTCGGTGACTGTGTTTCCGACATTTCTGTAATGAATAGTCAATTGAAATTTATGTATGAACAGAAAGCAGAAAGATTTCTTTTGAATGTTTTTCTGAAGATGAAAATATTGGAAATTTAATTGAAAAACATCACGACACGCATCAATTGAAATATTTCAACCAATTAATAAATGAAAACTTATTTGATGTCAGTCAAACGAATGAGGAATCTCTATGATTTGTTCAACTCAGGAACGAATTCATAATTCTCAACATAAATCGATTAAAATCGTTGAATTTCGATTTCATTAATGGAAAATAATAAAAATGTCAGCTTTAAAAATTTCTGACAATTTTAATAATTTCCAAATTTTGAAGACTAAAATTAACAATTTCAATCAATTAGTTTGAGGACGAGTTCTGTAAAAATTAATTCATCAATAAAATGAATCTTATGAAGCAACCAAAGAAATATTTTTAAATTCTTCATTCATTCCACCCCCACTCAACTCTTTCCACACACTTCTAAGCTTCAATTACTTCAAGAACATAAATACAATTCGGATTCGATCGAACGATTGCTTCTATCATACATGATATTCATTTTCCATGATATGCGAGATAAAAGTAACTCAATGCATTAAAATCACTTCCATTAAGAGTCTTTCCATTCAGTTGCGAAACCTTTTCAGATAGTTTATGTGGCTGAGAATGAATGTTCAATACTTTTTTGTCATCATCATAAAGTTTGATAAGAAAAGTCATCCCAACCCTTGCAAAGGCACAAAGGGGAGAAGGAGAGAGATTTGTATGTATCGGACAGTCGAGGTATTATCATAATTTCTGTTCTGTAATTCACGTAATATTTCTTCGTAGGATAAATTTTTAGATTTTCTTCTTCTTCATCGTTTCTTTTCCCTTCGGTTCTTGTAGTGAATTCTCGTGTCCAATATCAATAAAATTTCATTTCATTTTCCTTTCTTTCGAGCTCGATGGCTATCGAAAACGAGAAAGCTTTGTGATGCTACATGATTCTAATATTGTTCATGACTCGAACCTGAACGAGACTCGAAAGAAGAAATCACATTCATAAATTTATATTTTGTGCGACCATTGATTGGAGACCAGAGTCATCGATGCTTTGCTTCGAGATAGAATTGTGTTTCGGAAGTGATTTCAATTGAAGATGACCGAAAGAAATTTTCTTATTGCATGCAGTTTGTATTGAAAATTTCTTTTAATCTCACATAATTCATTTGAAATCAGTTGATTCACCTTCAAGAGATTCTCATCGTGACACTGAAGAAAATTGGAAAAGTCGACGTAAGTAGATAATTGAATGTGAAACGAAATAAATTGTTCAACTTTTGTTGACTTCCGTTTGATATTTTTTCATATTTTGCTCTTGGTCATTTAAAGACTCGTTTGATTTATCATATCTCTCGTGGCTAAGTCGGTGACTGTGTTTCCGACATTTCTGTAATGAATAGTCAATTGAAATTTATTTATGAACAGAAAGCAGAAAGATTTCTTTTGAATGTTTTTCTGAAGATGAAAATATTGGAAATTTAATTGAAAAACATCACGACACGCATCAATTGAAATATTTCAACTAATTAATAAATGAAAACTTATTTGATGTCAGTCAAACGAACTTAAACTGCAAGAGAATTGAACGAGAAACAGGAACGATTTCGTCACAAATTCTTTTGTTCATTCCTGGAATTTAATCCGAGGATGAAAATATCATAAATTAAAACAATAATAAATTGAAAAATCTTTCTTTTGCCTATTGAAACGAATTAAAAGCGAATGCAAAGCTTTACGAGTGGTTTTGCATGGGAAGATTTTCAACCAATGAATTGCGAAGGATTAAAAGGAAATAAAATGACAAAACAAAAAGAAAATCGGAGATTTTGCCGTTTGTTGTTTCGAAAAGCTGCACAGATCTCTGAATAAGAATATTCACTTATCCCATCCTGAGTTTTATTTATTAATTCCATTATTTTACATAACCGAACATTTTATTATTTCTGGAAAAGAAATTTTCATGTTGCGAGAAAGCGACACAACAAACAAAACATAAAATAATTAAATAAATCTTCGGTAGGTACCTGAAGTTTCCTTTATACTTCGAAAAGAAGAAAAAAGCAACGTAAATATCGCAAAAAATATTTCACTGCATATGAATGGTCGTTTAAGCAATTTATGAGTCTCAAACAGAATCCCGAAAAATACCTCGGAAGAGAGGTGAGAAGTAGATTAAAATAAAAAAGAAAATTCTTGCACAAACTTTTTAAACATTGCAGATGTGAGGAAAAGAGAGAAAGAGAGTGAAAGGATTTCATTTTATTTGTGGTTTCGTAAATGATTCTTTGTGGAATTTATTTGTGCTTCGTGTTGGCAAACATTTCGCTCGCTTGATGTTCTCAACAATTTCCAAAGGAATTTCAATGCGCGAAGTGTTGAATGCATGCTTTCTTACTTTTACTTTCTTCTCCACCCACGCACTAAATTCATCGTTAATACATCGAAAGAAACAAAAATTTACGTTCATTTGAAGCAATTGCACATAAAAGCAATTCGTGTAAGGTGTAACATCAACTTCCAAACACACACACAGCATGCGTAGGGAAGAAAAATGGAAGAAGAATTCAATCTGAATTGGATGAGTCTCTTGAGAGTGTTTGGTCGTTTTCCCGATTCGGTTGTTGGTTATGCTCAAATGAATACAGATGGACATGCGGAAGGATATGTTTTTGATGGTTTACATTCTCATTTCATCCAGCAATGCCATTAATACCAATCTATACTTTCTCGTCTTCCGTTCCTTGTGATTCTTCGGCCTGCTTAGGGGACGGATAGAACGTTTGGTGAAATATAATTTTATGGATGACTGTAAATATTGGTCAACATCTAATAGCAAGCAAATGCTAACTAAATCCTTATAGATGATGCTACCGAAATGCCAATTCCGGATTTGATGGCCGATGCTTGTTGGATCAAGATGCGGACGAGAATGAAGTCATATCAGAGCGGAAGTATCTACAAAAACGAATGGATGAAAAAAAATCATTTTGGATCGTCTTCTTTCACTTTACGATTATTTTCGACCTTCTTCGAATAACCAAAATGTGACCATTGGACTGAATAAAATTTCTCATTTCGTTAACTGCTGAACGAGTTGTTTTACTTTCCTTTTGTTTCCCAAAATATCTTTTCCATTCTTTCCTCTCGCAAGTATCGTCTTGAATATTTTATTGTATCGAAAGATGTTTTAAATTGAACAAGAACAAAAATATAAACATCAACAATGATTCATTACTGCATCGAAATGTCCTTAAAGTTAAAATCATGTCCGGGGAAATGACATTTTTATGATCTAAAAAAGTCGCATTAAAAATGATGAAATGATTCAAACTGAAATGCAATTCGAGTCCATCCTGAAAATTGCAACAAAAACGACCGAACATCGACGTCGAGCAGAAAAAGTTGATGATTTATGTCATGATTTTAATATTTATTTATGGATCTCGATGTGGAACATTTCGATATTCATTTAATACCAAAACGAGGCGACGACCGAAAGCCCAAAATATTTATGTTTATGTAAAACATCGAATTGTCAAAAAATATTCACCTAAAAATTTACGATTGTGTGAACAAAAAGCTTTTGCTGCTTCTACTGTTGTTACTGGCCTTTCTGGATGAACAACACTGAAAATTGAATTGTTTTGTATTGTAAGTAACATAAAAATATAAAAATGTTGCGTTCTATGTGTTTGGAAAGCAATTTTCACAAAAATTATTTTGAGGGACAAACAAACGAATAAACAACAAATGCAAATAAATGTTGACAAAACGAAAGCATCGCGGTATTTCATAAAAGCTTTTCCACCCCACCCACACATAATGGTGATCCATATTTCACAATTTATTTTATTATTGACAATTATTATTCTGTCGCTCAATTGCCCTCGCGATTCTTTCGCGATATTGTCATGTGCATTGAAGACTTTCATTCCCTTAAGCCAACGCACCATGCAGTCACATCATAGAGTTGAGTTCGCCATTAAAACAGGTGAATGTCATAAAAATTCATTTCCATTCATTTCCCAATCACCGAGAAGCACATATCGTGGAATCGCTGAATGGATTGGAGGTGGATTTACAATTCCTGAACATAACTTATCATTTCGACTTGGAATTGAATAAAAAACACATTTTGGTGCAATGCAATTGCAACGTCCAATGTCGTCGATGTCGGACAGCAATGAATGAATGTCATTTTATTTATTGCTTGGATCAGCAACGAAACAGACAACTCAAAGTACCTGAAGCGTTGTGTTGTTCAGAATGCATCTAATGTTAATGGATATCGAATGAACCTTCCGTGAGTCTCGTTCGTAAGCTTCAAATCCAATCTGTGGCCAATAAAATGAACTCAAATTTTGGTCATTCGAATTTTGACAGCTTCCAGTCATTCCTAAAGTTGTAACTCGATTCATTTAACGAGTGATTTGATTGCAGACTAAGCAGTTAAGTTCATTTGACTTCAAATTTGTTTTAAATCTTCCGAGGCTGGAATAACAAAAATGAAAAATTTATGAACACCTCGGAATGGAAATAAAAAGTTTTCCTCGTTTTTCTTCCTCTTTCTACTCGAACTCGTAACGATTCTTTTACACGTTTTTATTTCGACTGTTAACTTGTTCCGATGTTAATTCTTGTCATGCATTTTTAATTAGATTGTTGTTGAAGTTTGTGCTGTTTGGAGTCTGATTGCGATGTTGTGTGATGTTTTATCCTGGGATTTGCACATCTCGACAAACATTTCCATTCCATTTGTGAGAATTTTGAAAATGTCTTCCGACTTTTGCCGCTACTCGTTCTGATTTCATATGCGCTGATTAAAGAAGTCGTGAATATTTCACCCAAATTATCGCACCACTTGAAAAGGTCTCTTCTCCCATGCAGATAACGCGAACATTCGTGAATTTGCGATGGAAAATTATTTTTTCAAATATCATAACATGTGAAGAACGAAGAAGAAGTGAAGTGAAGTGAAGCAAACCAATTTCACTTGACTTTAAATGAGCGAAATGAATGTTGCATAATTTTTCACATTGCCAACAACGAATGAATGAATCGAGAACATGCAAAAGACTTTAGGGATCATTTCACGACTCGCATGTGCGTGATGCGAAGTCGAGATCAACAAATGAATGAAAGTGGAAGTCACGAGGCGTGCAAGTCGAATTGAAATCGAAATGAAAACCGCAAACCGATCATAAATTTCTACAACTTGAATTCGTTTGTGAATAAAACATTTGATTTTCTTCTGAAATGAGATTTTCCATTTGATGACAATTGCGTCATCCACAGCCGGGATGTTTGTGAATATTTCACAAGTTGTAAGAATCTCGTGGAATTTTCCAATTCAAAGCGTCACTTAGAAGTTTTTTAAGCAAGAAAAGGTGTTTCATATTATTTATATGATTCTTCTTATTAAATTCATTATTGTTGATGTCGTTGAGTCGACAGGTTGGCAACAAATGAAACAACTTTTCATTCTACAACATTAAAGATTTCTAATTTGGGAATTAATGCAAAAATTAAATTTTCATCCTAATGGGACTTTGTCCTTAAAAGCACCACTCAAGATTAGTAATTAATTTTTATGAACGTAATTTTTTTGATGGTCGACTTTTTTCTTGTTTCTTTTTTCACGAAACGCGGCGACGGGAGTGAAAAGCAGATGATAATAATGACGCCAACCCAAGAGTGTTCATCACCTCTCCACTGCCTCTAACACAACACAAAAGTCGTTTCTTCAATAATGCCTTGGCGTTGTCGTTGTCATTGTCGTTCATAATCGCAGCACGGGGGATGATTCGACACCCTCGCGTTATGATCATAAATGTCATCACAAAATCATAATTAAAATTTGTTGATGTAATTTCAATTATGGTTTCTCATGTTGTTCAGCTGTTCTGCGACAATGAAATTTGTGAGTTGAGTCGAATATTTCATCAACTTGCGACATTCTCATAAATTTACAATTGTAGTAAGAAATTTGATGTTTGAAATGAAAAACAAAAATCGCAAATCTGCTTTACCGACATCAAGAGTCGAGTTCAAACATAAAATGCCAAAAATAAATTATGAATTTTAGAAAAGGTGTAATTACTGGCAGAAATATCATGCCAGCTACCAATAACTTTTCCGCCTCCTCCCTCGCCGTTATCATTCATATTTTATGCTCACTTTTAGCTCTCGAGGCTGCTTATAAATCAAAACATTTTCTGACATTTTAAAATTTTTCTCTGCGCAAGTATCAAAGACAGTATGTGAACGAGCAAGTCTCGAGCTGTAGTTATGACACTCGAGGAAAAATGTTATTTTCTATCTCTCGTTCTTCATAGTATGAAGTAAGGCGAAAAACAGGAGAGAAAGGGTTGAGACTGAAGCGCTTCGGCTGCTTGTAATGTGAGATGGTGGATTAGCCTCGTGCACAGAAGAAAGGTTTTTAAACTTTTGCGTGGGTGGTTGGTATGAGATTAATGTCACTTGCTTCGATATATTCTCCATTCTCCATTCTCCGAAAAGGAACAAAAGCAACAAAGGCGCTTATCTAAACAATAAACACCGAAAAATATTCCTTTTTCTATAAGTAATTTTAACATGTTTTCGAGCACTTAACACTGAAATTATTGTCGGGAATAACAATTAAATGTTTGACTTTCTGGGCTTGTTTGTGTCGCAACTGCTGCTTTCCAACCATAATCCTCATTCAACCTAAGCTTTCTCTAGAACAACGTAGGGAAGGTAGAAGCAAATGAATAATTTCTAACAACTCCTTCGAGTTCAGTCGACAACGCATTTCGAGAATTTCTCATTTTTAATGACTCTTTAATTTAAACGGTTATTGTGGCAAAGCGTAATCGCGTTTGTCGCTTAAATATTATTGTTGTTTTGTTTCTGATATTTTCATAATTCCGATGTGAAGCCGAGAAGTTGTTGAGATTAAAAGGAAGAAATTCAGTTGCTTGCATCGCTCTGATTGATTCAACTTGATTCAACAAATCTTTCCTTGAAATGAATAACCAAAGCAAGCATAATTGTTTCAATTGAAAAATGATCAAAGCCATCAAATAAATCTTCAGAAGGATTCACGTTGCTAAGAGAAGGAGAAGAAGAAGTGAAAACATGCACGGAAGTTGCTGAAATCGAAGCAAAGTTCGCATCAAACGTCAATAAATTTTTATCGCATGTTGTTTAGATCATTATCCATATTTCACTCACGCTTTAAACTGCCTTTCGTGAAACACATAAAAAAGCTCGGAAAACATAAAATTGAATGAATGAATGAAAAAAGTTTGAAGCTGTTGTTGTTCTCGGTCATCGTTGAACGGGATTCGAAATGAAAATCATTTTCAAAATTGGATC